GCTGGTGGGATGATCAATACTGCTCCCCCCTCCATCATCTTGAATTGTATATAGGCTTTTTATATAGGATTGTTCCTAGTTATTTTAATATTTGTAAGTCGCCCAGAGTCCCCTATTGTGGGGGAGATGGGCGGCGGAGAAATCCAATAAAATAAATAAATATGGATATTTATATTTTTATTGTTTTTATTGTTTCAGATTTTAATTGTAAGCCACCCAGAGTCACCCTCTGGGGGAGATGGATGGCATATAAATCTAATAAGTAAATAAATAAATAATAAATAATTCTTAGTGAGATATAAAATTGTACTAAGTTAAAACAAAACTAAATCAAATCTTGAGATCAGATATATCTTATGTATATCTGTTGTGTATATGATGTCTCAATTTCTAGTCTGTGTATGTGTGTGTGTACATGCACATGTGCCTTTGAGTCAGTTTTGATTCCTGGAAACTACATGGACAACTCAAAGACGTTTTCTAAGCAATGCTCTTTGGAAGTGGCTTTCCATTTCCTGCTTCTTATTGCTGAGAGACAGTGACTGCCCCAAAGTCATGTAGCTGGTTTTGTAATTAAGGCAGGACTAGAACTCTCAGTCTCCCAGTTTCTATTCCAGTGCTTTTAACCACTACATCAAACTAGCTTTTCATCCTCACTATAAAGTACTATACTGTACATCTAAGAATTTGCAACATACTGTATTTCTAGAGGTGAAAAAAATAAAGTGTTGTCCATGTAATATTCATTACATAAATGTACATAAATTTCATTTTGCATTTGGAGCTGAAAAAACAGGAACATCTGCAAATATTTTACAAGAGTTTTGTTTTATTCCAAGATCCAACATTATTCCTATGAAGCTTATATTCCAGTGAAGAAATACAAAAACCAAAAGTGACTCTTCCAATCCATCTATGATTAGTTCTTCAGATACTGTTTAGACACAACATGTTATTGTGACTAAACCCAGTCTCTTAAAATTAAATTAAGTTATAGCTAATTTCATCTGGGCAAGATATATTCTTGAATTCTTTCTCTTCATTAGGTGTCCCCTAATGAAGTTATAGCTAATTTCATCTGGGCAAGGTATATTCTTTAATTCTTTCTCTTCATTAGGTGTTCTCTGCTGTTCAACTCAGGCCTTAAAACAATTATGTAGCATTTTGGGGAGAAGATACAAATCAATAAACCAGCACTGGAGGCCAAGATGGAGAAGATCTCCACAGCTACCATATATTTCCCCTTGGTGCATAAGTAGGTTGGAACGAAGGACAACCAAACAGTGCAAAATAACAACATGCTGAAAGTGATAAACTTGGCTTCATTAAAACTGTCAGGCAGCTTTCTGGCCAGGAAAGCAAGAGTGAAACAGATAATGGCCAAGATACCCATAAAACCCAATACACAATAAAACATGATAGCAGAACCTTCATTACATTCCAGAACAATTTTTTCAGTTATTGAGTGAGTATCAAAATCCGGGAATGGAGGTGAGGTTGCCAACCACACAGTACAAATAGAGGCTTGTATAAAGGAGCTAGAAAGAACAATGGAGGTTGCCAGTCTTTTGCCCACCCATTTTCTCATTTGGGATCCTGGCTTGGTGGCCATGAAGGACAGAACCACAGTGATGGTTTTGGCTAGTACACAAGACACTGCCACTGTAAAGATGATGCCAAAAGCTGTTTGGCGGAAAAGGCATGGTATCTTCTCAGGCCGCCCAATGAATAGCAAAGTACAAAGGAAGCAGAGGAAGAGAGAGATGAGGAGAGTGTAGGTAAGGTTCCGGTTATTGGCCTTCACGATGGGAGTGTCCTGGTGCTTGAGGAAGATTCTAAGCACCAAAGCTGTAACAGAAGAGAAGGAAAGAGCAAATATGGCCAAGCTGATCCCTAACGAC